GCCAAGGCAAAAACTGTCCTTAGTTGTTTGTGTACCATAATAACTGTGTTTTGAAATTTGGAAGAATTTCACATGTATGTGTCTAATTCATGCTCCTTATTTTCTTTATATAACATTGATTTGTTGTGGGTCTTGACTTCCCCCTCCCGCCCCCGTTCTCAAGGGAGATGGAGGGGAGGGGGAGATGTACAGCAACATCCAGAATTCCTCACAGGTTCCAGCATTGATCAAACCCTGTGAAGCACATTATGGAGGCTGTGAAGGCTGCTGCTTTTGTCCTCATTTCACCCCGTTCTGTCAGGGTATTGCATCACGTAATATGCAAAGTGTTCAGAGCTCCTGCAGTACCCCAGTAATAGGGGTGAACTGAGGTTGCAGCAACAGCTCTACCTCTGCATTCCTGTTGCTTTCTGTAGGCTTTAGCACACTTGCTTCTGCTGCAAACCCTCCTTGGGGTCACTGAGTCCACTAAACATGATGCGATGCTTGTGGGGTCATTAAGAAGCAATTTGGGTAGAGGGGAGAAATTCTCCCGAAGGACCCAGAGATCATTTAATCTGATCAAATGGTGATGAGGGGAGTTATTGCTTCCAGGCATTTCTCTTTTCAGAGTTCTCCCACCCCCCTGAAATTAATGCTCCTGTTTTACATCTCTCAATTCACTGTTCTAGGATGCGGGACTAAAAATCAGCAATGCAGTTGTTTGCTCTTCTCTCCTTCGCTCTGTCAGCCAAGAGGGTCCCCTTTCTTTTGCCTCTAGTGAGGAATTCTTGCAGGAAGATGATTAGCAGAAGAAAAGGGTGTAGGAGAAAGGCGGCTGGAAACAAGACCACATAATTCAGGGGGCTGACAGCACCATTTTGGTCAGAAACCCTCCTCTCTAGGTGGCGGGGGGGAAGCATCTTTCTCTGCTTCCTTTCCCACTCCCTTGCGTTTCCCTTGTCAAAGGGCTGTGTTAGTGCTAGACCCGGGGTTCTTCGGTCATCTCATAGTAGACCTCACTCCTTGTGTTAGGGAGAGGTGTTTTTTAGCATCTGAACACTGTGCTCCTCGTTGCTGGTGACAATGTGTACGTGGGGCTCTGTTACCTTTGCGTCCTCACCTTTTGTGCTACTTCTGCCTTCCTGAGTGTGACTGGCTGTAGGAAGGGGCTCTTTGGGCCACTGCTCACTCCATTTTGGGTGCGGGGTGGACAAGGGGGTCCTGCTCACCTCCACACAGCTAAAATGCATACAGGAGAAGAAATGTAGCCAAATAGGTAAAGAAATACCAGTTTATGATTCTCTTCTCTGTCCCTCCCCCCATCTGGTTTCTAGTAGCAACGAGAGCCTTCACAGGAGCAATACATCTCCTGTGTCACACAACTGTCTCTATTCAAGTATCATTGTCTTTTTGGCCTGGTCTGTGCTGAAGTATCTTTCTGGCATAGAGAAATGAGTTGGATGGGAGGGGAGGATGCTCTTGTCTGCCCTGTTTTGGGAAAAGTTATGCTGGTAGAAAGAGTGCGTGGTGGTGTAGTTTATGCTGGGGGAAATGGGATGGGATTGCTTTATGGCTCGTGCTTATTCTCTTCTGGAAAGAGGTTGAGAGCCGTGCTGGCAAACGTCCTCTTCTGGTGTAAGCAAGGCTCTGCCCCAGGCTCCTCTGGCTCTGAACTCTGATGTCTAAACAGATTGCTGGGTTACATGCTGAGTGTGACTGAATGCCACTGAAACGCAATGGAGCAGAATTTCATGTGCCCTCTGCCCTGGGCTTGCTAGAGGTGTGCGGGGAAGACAGAGATGGAAGAGGGCATTTATTTATCTGGTGTGGCATGTGAAGCATTAAGCTTGTGGCAATTCCAGGCTCTACTGGTATGGGAGACTAAAGGGATCCTGTGACTCAGCTGGTGCCGTGCTCTTTCTTGCTCACTTCGTATGGAGGGGGATGGTAAAGAACAAGCAATCAGAAGGATTGCTCAAGGGACTGTCATACCTCTCGGATGGTGCAAGCATCAAAGCAAGTGAGCCCGCAATTAGCCAAGAAATGACAAGCAGAATGGGCTAGATTGTCAGTAAGCAGGCAGGAAACAAGCCAAGAGCGGAGTACGATGGCGTACTCCTTGTCCTTCCTTCATCCACAAACGCTCTTTTAGTGTATAGAAGGAGCATTGCCATGTGCTCATGGTTGGTTTACTGCCTTATTGCCTCTTTCTTATTTTTCTTTTCTCTTCTTCCACTGTAACAATGAGGTGTAACACTGAGGTGTTACAGACTCCCCTGTGACAAGAAAAGCATCCTGCCTCCTTTCATGGTGTCCGATCACTCACAGCCTACTGTTTGGCTCTGTGGTGTATTGACTTGATTCAAGAGAAATCCTATTGATATGGGGGGACTTTGCTAATGTTCTTGCTCAGTTAGGAGAGAAAATGCTGTAAATGATTTTTTGGGGGGTGGAGAGCAAAGGGGAGGAGGTATGTTTTTATTGCTTATAGCATCTGGCATCAGAAAGGTAATATGCTGGAAAGGAGAACAACCTCATCTCTTCTGTGTATATATTAAAGGATAAGATGCTGAAGTCAAGTCAGGAACTGTAGATCTTTCTACAGTGAAAGCAAGCTAGTTAATGCAGCAGTACTTAGCATTCAAGAGCTTAATTCAGCCTTGGACTTCAGAGCATTCAACTCCTTTCCCTCCCCCTTAGACAAAATGTATAACACTGCATGTGCAATACCTGTCCTAAGAAAGCTGAGGGCATTTAGCTGAAGTACAGGGAAATGCTGCACTTAGGGTTTCCTGGCAGCCTTTGGCTTTGGTGTGGATATAAAGTCTGGAAGCATCTCAAGTCGGTCTTCTACCCACATCCTACTGATGTTCCCTGCTCTGTTTGTAGTGTGGAGGGAAGGGACGGGGCAGTTTCCTTCTCTGTCCCCATTTCCCCTGCGTGGTCCTCCTGGATCATGTTCTCCCCTTGGGGTGTGGTTTTGCAAGTTGGTTTGGTTTTGGTTTGTTTTTTTGTTTTCCATGGCAAAGCTGATTTCCGAGGTTACTACCCATTGGTCACCCTCAGGATGTTCTATTAGGCAATGCAGCAGTTTCAGCCTAAGAAGTTTCTATCACTGTCCCCATCACCTCCACTGTCTGTGCAACTATCTTATTATGTTTGCCTTGTGCAAGACAAGGTTGTTTGTAAGAAGGGATAGTTTTTTATCCCAGTTCAGCATGGTCCTTAGAAACAATTTGTTGACTTGGAGGGGCAGATGCATTTGTGCTGCAGGGGTGCAAATGAATGGTTGTGACTACGCCTTTCTCCAAAGGGCTAATAAAACTTTTACTGAATGTATCCAGAACATGGTCCAACAAACAGGTTCGTCAGCCCCTTTGGGAGTCCCCATTGTGTGCAGGTGGGAGCTTGGAATAGCAAGAACCTCATGGAGTGTCCTTGCTAACGTGGAACTGTGCCTGTGTTTACTGCATGCTCTTCTGCCACAACACGTGGCTGTATTAATGTTCTCATGGACTTTTCCATGGCACTTAAAAAAGCCCTTTTTTGCAACACCTTTTTGTGAAAATTAACTAATGCATAATATCACATGTTGTATTGTCTGCTAAGATGGAATGTCTGCTTTAAGTACCTAGATTTAACTTCTTTGTATTGATGACAAGCTGAAAATAAGAGGCTGGTGCTCTCCTGCTGTGCATTTTCTGATCTCTCCTCTCTGTTTTCCCAATACCTTTTGAGTTCATTGCTTAGTTTGCTCAGATGAAGGAAGAATTGAGGAGTGTCCCAGCTTGAAGGAAAGGCTTTAAGAAATGCCATGCTATTATACACCAGAGACACCATGTGAGAGTCCATAAAGGCAGAAAACATGGGAGAAGCACATCTGAGAGCTGAAGTTAATTGTGAGGCCCAAACCATGGGAAGTGTGGCTTCCTTAGCTGCAGCGCACACAGAACCGCTTCCTTCCGGAGGTGCTGCGCATGCTCTCCATGAGTCGGGTGCTCAGCACAGGAATTTGCTTGCATTCCTCCCTGGGTATCTGCAAAGAAGGAAGGGGGAATGATTTTTGAGTTCATTCAAAATGAAGTCTTTGTCTTGAAGTCCAAAATTTGTAGAAGAATGAGAATTCTAGCTGTGTGTACCAGTTCCAAGTCTTTCAGGGTACTAGCATATTGAGGATCCTACAGACAACCAGTACTTTCACCATCTTCCACTCCATTAGGTGAAGTAGGAGTCTCACCTTTTAGCTGGTATTTTTTTTTTCAAGGGTGTTATTATCATTACAGTGCGTTTAATAATGACCAAGCACGAGGGCACAGGCTTCAGAACACCACTACTGGTACTGACTTTGATCCCAGCCCTCTCAAATGGGTGCTGTTGGATATAATGCAAGCTCAGTCACTCATACTGAAAGAGATATTTGTGTTTTAGTCCCATTTGTACAAAATAGAACTCCTCAGGGCATCTTCACATTGTAAAGGTAAAAGCTTGTGGGGGCATAATACGTAGAGGTGGGGCTTGCTCCAAGATGAAAATTGCTGAGGCATAAGGGCTGAAGAATTTGCCAAGATATCTGCAGTGGTTGTGCAACACTAGGAGTCTGGCAGTATTGGAACGTATGGATTGTCTCTGGGGATTTTTGTTCTTAAGAAAATAATTGCTTTGGGGGATTTAAGAAAAAAAAAAGTAGCTGAGACAGTCATGTCTATAGCTTTAGTGAACAAGTTCTAAAATATTATACGCTATGTTTCAGAAGTACTGGAACTGGATTGGATATCATGTGTCATTTGGGCTTGTTAAGGAAAATAGGTAGCAGTTTGTCTGGTGACTGTTTTTCTTTTGTTTCCTTCCTTTTCTGAATTGTTGGAAACAGCAGCTTTTCATGAGAGTCCTCTGTGGAGGATGCAATGACCATGACTGAAGTCAGAGCTGCAGGACTGGGTTTTAGACTGGAAAGGGGAAGGGAAGAGGAGATGAGATCATTATATGAAATGCTCTTATGCCTTCTCTTTGTTTTTCAGTGGACGAATATATTGCCATTGCTAAAGAGAAGCATGGATACAATATGGAGCAGGTAACAACCCTTTCAATACTTACTTCATTTTAAAATCTTTTTCAGCAGGTATTAAAACATGACTTAAAGTGACTGCCTAGAACTGCTTCTTCCCTTCTGTACTATTTGTTTTCTCCTCTCCTGCTTCTCCCAAAACTGACTGTTCCTAATAGTAACCTGTGCTCTGGCAATATGGAGTTCACCCCTAGTTTTACATGAAGCATCAAGAGAAGAAAAAAAAAAAGACCAAAGCCAAAACCACTGTAATTTCTAACAGAGTTTGGCCGTGAGTATTATGCTGCCTATCATTACTACCTCTTGAACACATTCAGAACCCCTAAACAACGTTAAAAAGATTGGCTTGTCCTTGGACAGCTGCCTGGTTGCATTGCAGTTTCCAGTTGACTGCTCCATCTCTGCTTCATGGATGTCTTGACAGTTATTAATGAGCTGTTGAACCATCATATGCTTTTCTGATGCAAACCAATATCCACAGTTATTTACAAATCATTTTGCATTTCATAGGTCAGCCTTTAGCCTAAGGATGGAAATCCTGGTCTGAGAAGCGGACCTCTCCTTTACTCCACGTGGTCTAGGATTGTGTACTAATCTTCCATGTGTTAACTAACATTGATTTCAGCACTTCTCTGCGGAGATGAGCAGAGCTGTGCCTGGGAAGTTTTTGTGAATTCTGTGGAGTTTCCTTATGCACTAATACTTGCCTGGAAAGGGAAGGCGGGGAATCTTATGACTTACTGTAGTGGCAAATTACGTATTGTCTCTACAAAGGGATTCTACAAAACCTTGGAAGTTTGTGAAATTGTTCAGGCAAAGGCCATGAACATAGAAACCAATGATTTGGATGGGCAAGGGTTTCTATTTAAATGACTCTGCTGTCGTCTTTGAGTCAGACTTTCAGTGGTTTATACTCATGCTCAAAAAGACTTCTTGTGGAACAAGAACATTGAAGTTGACATAGCCGGCAAAATTTCCAGCAAAACCAGGAATGATCAGACTTGCTATTTATGGTTTCTAAGAGCAGAAAACAGGAAAAAAAAAAAAAAACAAAAAAAAAACAAACCAAAAAAGGAACATGAAGGCACCAAAAGGCTGCAAACATGAATCAAAATAAGGTAGCTCACTTCAGTTGAGATGGGTATATCCTAGTATTGGATATTGTGGGTAATATTTGTCAGAAGAGATTGTCTCAGGGTAATAAACACGGGTTTCATTATTTTAGTGTAGAAGTATTATTTAGAGAGTGTAGACTGATCTGGAAGACTGATCAGAATGAAGCTTGTGATTTAAAAAAAAAAAAAACAATGGAATTCTCATGTTTTAAGGACTTAGATTTGGCTAACAGAGATTTGCATTCATTTTAACATTGGAATTACAGACCTTCCACTCATTCCTTGAAGACTCTCTCCCCATTTTTCTCCCCTCCTCTGTGTACAGAAGTAGAAGGTATAGGAATAATAATAATAATAATAATAATAATAATTAATAATGGGACTTGCCTCCTTCTAAAAATTTTCTCGTTCGTTCCCTAGCATTCTTGCATAATACTCTGGAGCTAAACATGTTTCCCAGGTCCTTTGAGATTTCCTAGACAGCTAAGCTAGGCACTTCCAGGAAATAACTGGAGAGGATCTATCTTGTATTGCTCTGGAAGGCATGTACTCATTTTGTGTTATAGGGACAAGTGTCAGGGCTTTCAAATCAGGATGATTTGTTGTGTCACCAAGGGACGCTCTCTTCAGCAGGTATCATCAGAGTTGCTGTTGGCTGGGTAACTGGACAAACTGATACAGACTCCCTGGAAGCCAGTCAGAGCTCACTTTAGCATTTGGCCACTGTGTCTGGGCTTTGCTGGCCAAGGCAGCCCTTTCCCACGCATGCATCCCCCCGACAGCCAGTCTCTTTGGACCCTTGTGCAGGTGGCTTGGCTGACAGTCATCGCACAGAGATTCCCATTCTTACATCTGTGCCCCCTGCCCAAAACCTACCTGTGCAGCCTAAGAGGTGCCAGTCCGCTGAAGGGAGCGTTGAGCTGTCTGGCAGGGTGGCTGGGGTGCGTGCTGGTGCTCCTCTGCCCAGTGGCTTTCCCGTCCAGCTGGCTGCATCTGCGCCGGGTGCGGCTCCCATGTCCCTGTCCCTTCTCTCCCCTTGCCTGTGGCCAAGTGCCCTGTTGTTGGCTCTGCTGCTGTGGGATGATGGCTGGAGGCTCGGGGCTGCGCTGCTGGGAGTCCCTGCAGCCTCGCCAGCCCGAGGGCAGGCGCCGGCAGGCGAGTGAACTCCGGCAGGGCAAGCCTGCTTTAGCTGGTGTTGGCAAACTGCGGTAGGTGGTTGTAGCAGTCACAGGCTCCTGGGAGCACTAGAGCAAATCTGGTGGTGAGCTGTGCTCTCCTGCCAGCCTGTGTCAGACGCCCTGGGACAAAGGAGGCTGGAAAAGCTGCGTACTTGTCTGTGTATGAATGCAGAGCTCTCCTAGGGCAGCATGGGGTGGAGGAGAAATACTGCTCTCCTGTTAAACAAACCTGTATGGAAAATGCTTTTGTTTACCTTTTGCTTTGTGTAAGCAGCTGTCCCGTCAGTCCTTGCTAGCACCTTAGTGGTATTTAACACTACCCTGCCCTCCCAAAATGTCTCCATCCTTCTTTTTCCATTGCTTTCTCACAGGGATGCTTGGTACAGCTCATATCTGAAGCTGAAAGGGATGGCAGGGGAGAGAAAACTCGGTCCTTTGTGACTGCAAAATAGTTTCTTTGGCCCCATGCTTGCCACAGTGGATGGAGATAAGTGGCTGTGTGGTTCTTGCGACATCTCGAGTGACTGTGCTGCAGCCAAGACCACTTCTTGCTCTGCATGGTGGCAAAAGGGAGGAGAAGGGTGCCTGGGCAGCACTGAGAGGCCAGTAGGGTCAGGACAAGATCCTGGATAACACTAATATTTATATGCATACTCTCTGCAGAATCTCAGGGGACCAAGATCCCATAAAGGAACTGCTTTTTGCATAGCAAAGCATAATGGGGAAACCCCGAATTTGGAGGGATTTTGTAGCTCTGAGCAGCCAGGGCGAAACTACTAGATGAGGGTAACTGTGGCCATGAAACCTGAGCTGAGTTTGCATATGATGAGCAGGTTACTCTAATGTTTTACTTGGCGTGTTAGGGATTGTTTTCACTTTACAGCCATTGCGAAAGGCTGGTTTTTAGCTCTGCAGAGTCAGGCCTTCCCAAAATGACTTGCAGTGGTTGCTGGCATGCCAGATGTAGTGATGTGTCATAACGCACAGGGGTTGAGCACCCCTGGGAGAGGGGTGGCTGTGAGCACGTGTCTCGGATGGCGGGAGGAGGATGGTTTGCGGGTGGTGAAGTGCAGCGCGTGCACTTTGTCTGTGGAACTGAGAACCAGAGACTGCAACAGTGAAACGAGGTGTCTCTGAAGGCAACAAATGAACAGCCCCCCAGATGAGTGAGATTTGTTCCTCCTTCAGGCCAGGGACATCTTAGCAGCAAGTCAAGGGTGTGCATGCCCTCTGCCTTTCCTTCTTCCAGTTCTTCCCTCATCCTCTCTCCTTTTTTCCCCCTCTTCCTCAGAAAGAGCCCCCTAAACAACCATAAAAATGCCCGGTCAACTAAACCGTCCTCCTAATTGCACAGGAAATGGAGTTTAGCACTGGCAAGAAGCTTCCTTTTAGTAGGTAGCCTTCCCAAGTCTTTGCTTAGCTTTCCTGTGCATACCATGATCAGTAAAGTTGGAGTAATTTCTTCAATTTTCTTATCCCCCCCCCCCCCTTGCTATTTTCTTATTATATTATTACCTGTGTGGTTTGGATAAATTTCAAGTTGGTCTTCACAGCCTAGCAGGGTGGGAGTCAGATTCTAGGTTTCTTGCACACAGAAAAGTGGCTGATGTAGCTGAGAATTAAAATTATGTCTAACCTGTTGCCTGAGAAAAATGCTGTAGCTCTCCCTTTGCATGCATATAATAATGTTTCTTGTGATTACAATTGTTTCCTTGGTGTCCTTGTTATTTCTAGGCCCTTGGGATGCTGTTTTGGCACAAGCACAACATCGAGAAGTCTTTGGCAGATCTGCCAAACTTTACTCCGTTCCCAGATGAGTGGACAGTGGAAGACAAGGTCTTGTTTGAACAGGCCTTCAGTTTCCATGGGAAAACCTTTCACAGGATCCAGCAGATGGTAAGTGGTGTCAGAGGAATGGAAAAGCGGAACAGGCAGTTGGACTGTCGTCTCCAGTGCTGATTTGCGCTGAACTCCTGTCTAATGCTCTTGGGAGGGAACAGGCCAAAGGGGATGTTAGAGGAAAACTATTACCATGAATGGAAAGAAACAACATTGCTTCCAGAGTCTCTGTAGAAGTGTTTTCTAGAAGTGCTTTACTGGTTCAGGATAAACTTTGACTATGCAATTTTTTTGGTTGGAAATTACAGTTTTCAGTCCCCTGTGTGCTATGGTAGTGTTTGTCTCAGCTGGAGTTCAGGCATGGTCTGTACACACATGCCCACCCACACACACAGTAAAGATCATCTCTGTGCAAAGTTGATTTCCTTTCTTACAGCCTGCTTTTTAGGAATTCATTTTATTTGACTATGAAGTCTGTGCTTAATGTGATCTGGGACTATCAGTGGATGCTGTGGTGGAGGTTTATACATCATTTCAAGCGTTCAGTCCTTTGCTTTTGGTTGGTAGTGATATTTTTTTTTTTTTTTAAACTGATTGAAAACTTCCAGGGTAGGCTTCTGCCTGAAAGGGAACTGCTGGGGTGTGCGCAATTTTCTTTCAAAAGAGGGAGAGGATGGGATGTAAAAAATTTTTTATTAATTATATATCTTGAGAGTTTCTTCAAGTGGTTCATCACCTGGGTGGGAACCAGACTTTGTTCTTTGCTGTCCTTCAGTAAAGTGCCTTTTGAGTGTTCCAGCAGGACCTGGTTACATTGGTTGTGACCCTTTGAAGTGAGCCTAGGCTGTTGCAGTCTGTTCAGCCTCTTTAAAGCACATGTGAAGGTCTATGTTGCTGATCCTGCTG